ACCATGTCGCAATTACGTGGCTTAAACTTTTTAAATGAAACTTAAGGAAGATCGAATGCCCAGGCGGCTCTGGAGTCTGCTGTGCGCCCTGCTCAGCGGGGGTGCCCTGGGCGGGGCGGGGTCCAGGCAGGCAGTTCCCGGCTGGGCTGGGCTGGGCGAGTGAAGGGATCTGCCTTCCACCCCGAAAGCCACCTCTGCCCTGGCACCCCCACCCCCAGTCCTGGGGAGAGGATGCAGGGGTGCCGTGGGCAGGTGGCCCGGGAAGCGGAGACCACATGCAGGCAGTCACTGGTGGCAGCTTCCAGCCTGCGTGCGTGCTGAGGTTGTGTGTCTCCTTTCTCTTCCAGGGCTCGATTCCTAGGGAGGGTCTTGCAGGGACTACTCACCCTCTTGGGCCTCTTGTTCTGTTAAGCGCTTCCCTCTCAAGCCTCACCTGGGCCCCCACTTCCCTGCCAGTCCCGGGAGGAGCCCTGGGAGGGCCAGCAGCCCCTGCTGCCCGGTGGCCAGCCCACTGACTGCCCCTCCCCACAGCCCACGCGCTGGGGCAGGAACAGGCTCATCAACGTGAACCACTACGCCAACAAGAAGAGCGCCGCCGAGAGCATGCTGGACATCGCCCTGCTGATGGCCAACGCCTCGCAGCTGAAGGCCGTCATCGACCAGGGCCCCAGCTTCGGCTTCTACGTGCCCCTGGTGGCCCTCATCACCATCTCCCTGGTGCTGCAGATCAGCGTGGGCGTGCTGCTCATCTTCCTGGGTATGAGCTGGCGGCCGTGCCTGCAGGCCTGCGGGCACCTCCTGGGCGGGGCACTCACCATCGGACACCCTGTGAGCAGGGAGCCCTCAGAGCTGCCCAGGGGCCGGGGGGGGCACCTCACTTCGCCCTGCAGTCCAGGATGTGCCCCAGAGAGCCCCTCGTGGCTCTGTCCTTCCACCCCGTCCCCAGGTGCGGGCAGGGCTGGGAGCAGCAGGGCTCGGGGGTGCCTCCCCGCCTCCTGGCTGCTGTGTGACCTCCTGCGGTTACTTGACCTCCTGCGGTTACTTGACCTCCTGCCTGTTGCCCTGCCTGTCACCTGAAGGGGAGGCTGGCGGGATGACCTCTCACAGGACACTCAGGAAGGTGCTGGCTGTGTGGCCGCAGGCGCCAGGCCCCTTGTCAGTAGTGCATGAAAGCAGGCGTGTCTCTGATGGACAGAGGTGGCCTGATGCTCGGCCGCGCTGGGCCCGGTGCGGGCGGCCTAGGCAGTGTCCACACCCTCTCGCCCACAGTCAGGTACGACCTCAACAACCCAGCCAAGCACGCCAAATTGGACTTCCTCAACAACCTGGCCACCGGCCTCGTCTTCATCATCGTCGTGGTGAACATCTTCATCACGGCCTTCGGCGTCCA